AAGGGAACCCTAACAGAGCTTCTCTCCATCCCCCCTTCTCTCAGCATTGCAGTTTTTCTCTAGTAATATGTGTGGTGTTATTCTCATCATGTCAGGACCCAAATATTTCTATAAAATGTATTAGAAATGAAAACTCTCTGTATTTTCAGTGTAAAAATACGCTGAAGACATGCATGACTAAACAGGCAAATGTAATTGAGCTACTGGGAAGTTCAATATTGGAGATGCATTGTAGTGACTGACAGTAGTATAAATGGTGAACAGGCCTCTGCAAACATTTACTGTCTTTGCTCTTCACCTCTTAGATTCCTAAGAGAAAGGAAGTTGAGAACAATGCTACAGAGCCATAAGAAATCATCTGAAGTGTCTCCCAAGCCCTTTACTTTCTCTAATAGGACAAGAGATATCTCCATATCTTTTTCTAAACAGGCTTCAAAAGCAGCATGGACCAATCAGTATTAGAAAAGCCCTATTGTAGCTGTAGATAGAGGGGAACTTTAGTAGCAATGGGATTATTATTCTATCTAAATCAATAGAGGAAGTTTCTATCTTGTTTAAGAAAACCTGGCTGTGACTGCTGGGCAGGTGGGAAAGGAGATAGAGTTGCAAATTAGACTAATAGCTAGATGTATAGTAAGACATAAAGGTCTAAAAATGGGATAGACATACTTGAAAGTGCAGTTCTCAAATTCCCGATTTACCCTCCCAGTCACCAAAGGTTTTATTGCAGAATACCTTGCAGTATTATTTACCAGTCATCCCATGTACTCGTCCTTTGCCTGAACGCCAGTGTCGTCTGTCTTGGCAGTGACGAGCAACTCAACATTTAGCTGTTGGGGAAAAGGTCTTTTGGGGACTTTCCTCAACCGATGTCTCTTAATTTGGTAGCAGTATTCAGAATACACTACTGCAAACTTCCCATGTTAGGTGATCACTTGAACGCTGAATAGCTATTGATCCGAGTACAATTAATGTATTCTGAGAGAGAAAAGGCAGCCTAGATCTCAGTCTCCAGAAAATGCACCCTCATTTTCTCTCTGGCTCTTCATTTGAGCTTTGGCTTAACGTTAGAAGTCTAACGTTCCCATGAGGGACTGGGGCTGCTTCCAGAAGACTTAGAGCTTCATGGTTAGAAGCTTCCTGAGAAGCGAGAGATGAGGATTTGAACACTTGCAAACCAAACAAGGAATTGAAACCCATGTCTCTCTGGCATCCTAAATGAATACTTTAATCACCAGCTCTTGTGTAAAAGAGTAGGCATCATTCTTGTTAGTCATCTTTTGAAAGGGATGTATTCCCCTGTTGTTGTTGCTATATTTATTTATATAATAAAGCTGAGCTTAAGCTTCTAGCTCCTGGGTTTGGGAAGGTGAGTTCTACAGCTTGTTAAAGCTATCAAGCACTTGATGGTCATGAGATTTAGGACACCTGTCACCTTGATGTTTCTTATCGGCTGGTTTTGTTGGCCTCTGCCCTGGGAACTGACTCTTCTAAGGAGTCTAATAATTTTATAATCAGTTGAGACACTTACCTGAGGCAGTGGTTTTCTTTGAGGGCTAGGGGCCTTAAAATCAGGTGTTGCATAGCGAAGCATTTCATTGCACTGTACGTGTCGCCTTGTAGAGAATTCCCAAACTTCAAATAGCTATTTGAAATCATAGAAGCAGAAGCAAAGAAAAATTTTAGAACGCTGCCTCTGATGTCTTTCAGTCAAGCCAGGGCTATTTTGCAGTTTTTAGTGAAGTCTTCTAAAATGCCATTTAAAAATGAGCTCCTTATCAGAAAAGCAAAAAGTAAGAAAGACTGCAGATCTTGTGAAATACTTTTGTTTTTCTAGGAAAGCCCACTTTGTGGGGGCGAGGGGGGGGGTAGAGAGCTTCTTCCAAGCATTACAGCTCCATCAAATGCAATATTACCCCAGTAATGATTGTTATGCCTAATAGTCATGGACAGCAACTTTATTCATCCCAGAAAGTACACAAAGAAAAGCAGCGCTGCAGTCTCCAAGATACGAAGCTTTCTCTGTTAAATTTACCATGGATGGTTGGATTCATCAGTTTGCATGCGTTTTTGACTGATACATCGTGCTGGATGCTTTAGGCATACACACACTAATTAGTAGAACAAATAGAAAACCCTGAGGATGCCCATGCTTAATGACATTGCCCATATTCTAAACCGTCTCTACGACAAATTACTCATTTCATGGCTGTAGGGAGTGGAAGTTAATTTATCTGTATCAGTTGCTAAGTTGAAGCATTCACTTTTAACAAGACACACTGTATTATACCTTTCTAGGAAACTTTCCAACACTTTAATTTTTAAACAAAAAATAAAGTAGAAGTAATAGACCAGGCCAATTCAGGGATAAAAATTGAGAGATATAGGATCTATTGTAAGTTTAAAGAGTCAATAGATGCTGATGAATTAGCTAACTTCTAATTAGTTTGGTACGATATAAAAACCAAAAAATTGTGAAGAGGACTTGAAATTAAATCCTTGGAGGAGCATTGAGTTATAACCCAGAACCTTGGCTCAGAACAAAGGCAGACTGTGCAGAAGCGTGTGCGGTTTCTTGCCGTAAATGCTTCAGTCAGGTAATTGCTTTTCAATCAATCTCAGCAAAAGAAATGAGAAGTCAAGTATGGAGAATGAAGCAAATTCACAGGCATCTTATAGCAGAACGTTTATAGGCATCTTGTCATTTTCAGTCGCTTATTGGTTTGCTTTTCTTCACTGATACATTTGACTGAAGAACCTGGATAAAGTGAACCTTGTTCTCGTAAGATGAATGAGCGGAACGTAGCAGTCAAATGATATCCAAGAGTCTGTGGCATTGCTGAACTGTAGTCACTTAATTACCTAAATGAACATGGGTCTTTGGAAGCGTGCCACTAGATATCCTGTATAACCAAGCAGATTGAATATTGTTGTCCTAAAGACAAGTTGCCCTCATGCTGGCAGGTTGGATGGGAGGGGAACAGTGAAGGGAGAGGATTGAGTGGAGGCAGATGACCTGGCAGGCTACATTGGAAAGTCAGGATTGCTTTTTCAACAGAATGGGAGGAATAGAAAAAGCAACTTGTGCATTTATTCTCTCATAGTTGAGCACTTCTCTCAGTTGTGGAAGTATCTACAGTCAGCCAGTCTCACAGAAGCAATGTAGATGGTATCGTGGCCACTTTTGCAGGTATCTAAGTGTCAAACTTGGATACTACCATTCAGTGCAGTTACAAAAGCTTTGACTGCCACCTCTTCAGAAGCATGTGGATGCACATTGTCAATAACCCCATATTTGCAATAAAAGCTAAAATCTCATCCAACTGTTAACTATCTTTACTTTGAGGCTGTGCTGGTTTCCGTTCTTTATAAATATATAACATAAAGACTAAAATATAGACAAGATTACAGCAGTAAAGCTCTTGGCAAGCAACCTTCCAGAAACTAAAATGTTCAGCATCCTCACAGAGACCTTGAAGAAGCAGCACCTTTATTTGGAACACAACACTACCTTGTTGCTAAACAACTTCCAAGGGTCAGTTTGGAACTTAAAAATTTACAAACCTGATACTAGCAAATGCCTTACTGGGTACCAGGAGGCTTTCAAGCTGCTGGCTATCTCCTGTACTTTCTTGGAAGTTGTGCATAAATGCAGCTGTATTCATCAGTCTTGCCCCAGAGAAAGTGCTTGGAAATGTTTCTTTGCCCTCGTGTCCTAAATCCTAAAAGTATTCTAAATCCTAAAAGTATTCAGGGTCCCAACTGAGGACATACCTTTCTGACCTTCCCCTCTGCTTACAAAGCAGTGGAGAGAGGGAAGAGCAGCATTTGGGGATCAAGATGCTGGAATTAATGACCCTGGGAGTCTAGGTTCACTTCTTTTCCACTGCCGTAAAGTTCTTTTGTGGATTTAGATAAATATCATTGTGCCTCAATGTGTGTTACATAAAGGCAAAATAAGGAGACCTGGTCTCCTTGTTTTCGTCAGTTTGGATTTCTCCAAGTGTCAGAGCAGACCTCCCATGTCCACTTAGGTGGGCAGTGTTCCCAGCTGGTGTGTGTGTGTGGTGGATGTACACTTACACAGCCTGCAACCCCGATAGGCACAGTTGCAGGTTGATGATGAATCTCATGTTTCTGGCACATCCAGCTCTTTGCATCTCTCTCCTCTGTGGTACTCGAGATGCTTCCTTCCACCCGAGAAGCTGCAGCCGATGCTCCTGGCTTGTCAAGTGTGCAGAGAGAGCGAGCGGCTGCCTCGGTCCATCTGCGCTGATTTAATTGATAATGTTTACCACGTCTGCCGGTTTGGAGAAAGATGGGGGACTCGGGGCGGGGGGGTGTCGGGAAATTCTTCCAGCCTTGTTATCCTGTGTGTGATGGATGTACACTTACACAGCCTGCAACCCCGATAGGCACAGTTGCAGGTTGATGATGAATCTCATGTTTCTGGCACATCCAGCTCTTTGCATCTCTCTCCTCTGTGGTACTCGAGATGCTTCCTTCCACCCGAGAAGCTGCAGCCGATGCTCCTGGCTTGTCAAGTGTGCAGAGAGAGCGAGCGGCTGCCTCGGTCCATCTGCGCTGATTTAATTGATAATGTTTACCACGTCTGCCGGTTTGGAGAAAGATGGGGGACTCGGGGCGGGGGGGTGTCGGGAAATTCTTCCAGCCTTGTTATCCCTCCAGTAACTATAGACTTTGGCAGGAATGCGGGTGATTAATTTGAGGTCTGTGGGCTCAGCCCGAGCGGCAGCAGCAGCTCTCCCCGCCGCCGCGCTGGATGTCTGGGAGACGGCAGCGTCCCCCGTGCTCGGCTCTCTTTTCCCTGTGAATTCAGCTCGCCTAAATAAACATCACCGAGCTGCTAATCACACGCTCTGAAACAAAACAGCACTTCACTTCGGGATCTGGGCAAGATCAGACTTCCCTCCCTCCTTCCCTCCCTCCCTCCTCTTCCTCCTCCTCCCCTCCCTTCTCTGCCCCCTCCCTGCTTTTTCCCCTCCCTCTCCCCGGCAGCCGCTGAGCCGGTCCCTCCGACCCGGCAGCCTCATGCTGGGGGCCGCTGCCGGCCGGGGCTGACCGAGCCCGCCCTGTCCCTGCTGCCCTGCCCGGCCACCCCCCACCCCGGTACGGCCACCCCTCGCCACCGGGCTCCTCCCGGCCACCCCTCGCCTCCCCGACGGGAAAAAAGTTGTGCGGAGCGCCGAGGATGGGAGCGCATCTGCAGCCTCTAGCCCTGCGGCTCCTGGCGTTGACTTTCCCCTTGGTGGCCAAGGGTTTTTCTGACGAAACCTTGGAGAAAGCCGCGAAATCCGAGGGATATTGCAGTCGGATCCTGCGAGCCCAAGGCACCCGGAGGGAAGGGTATAATGAATTTAGCCTCAGGGTGGAGGGCGATCCAGAATTTTACAAGCCTGGAAACAGTTACCGGGGTAAGTTGGCCATCCTCTACTTCCCATTACTAACGATAATGGTCAGGACAAGTGTCTCTGAAACTCTAACGTTTCTCTGGATCCCTTTCGGCGTGTGGGTTAAGGCAGGGTAATATACTCCCCCGCATGACTTTATTGGGGATGCTTTCATGACAAGTGAGAGGGAGTTGGATTTCACAGTATCGCTTTACTCCCAAACATTAACTCAATATTAAGAGGAATTTCCTTTCTTTTATGAACCCTCTCTGCCAGCTTCGTGCTTGCACAGGATCAGAAGTTGATGTGATGCAAAACACACGCTCTTTCCCCATTTACCTACTTCTATAGGATTTCTTCCTATCTCTTTAAATATAACACGGTGAATAGGAGCAGCTCTACCATTCAGCAGGAAGGAGAGGAAACTCGGAGCTAATTGTTCTTGCCCTGAAATACGAATGTTAATATAATGAGTTAGCATATGGGCAAACAGTGATGCAGCACACTGCCAACTTCCCACATTTTCCACTTATGTTTATCCCACCCCCCCCTTTTTTTTTTCTGGGGAAATGAACAGATGGTTCCAACAGGAAAGAGGCAGAGACGGTGCTAATGACCACTGTAAATAAGAGATGGAGGCATTCGTTTTCTGCTGAGCATTTAACATACAATCTGAAATTAACTTCCAAAGCACATTTCAGCGTATTTTTCTAATTAATAGGCAAAGGCAGTTTAGGGTCACTTTTTCTGCCTCACCTTACACAATCTGAAATTAACTTCCAAAGCACATTTCAGCGTATTTTTCTAATTAACAGGCAAAGGCAGTTTGGGGTCACTTTTTCTGCCTCACCTTACGATGCTTTTGGAAAACAAACCTTCTTGGAGTATACTGTGAACTTTGTATCTAAAAAGTACTTTGAAAAGGATTTGGACATTTTTAGGTACCATAACTAATGTAGTTTATAAGCATCACTTTAAAAAAGAAATTTTGAGAGTTTCATCTATGTGTTTTGTCCGGATCTTCCTTAGATTCGGTGTAAAAAGCAATGTTTTCTCATTGCATGAACATGGGAATCTTGGTAGAGATAGGGAGAAAAAAGTGTGCACGTAGCATAATTATCATGTTCTCTTAAAGGGTGAAAAATAAATCTGCAGCAGTGATTAACTAGTTTTGAGCACCAGCCTGTAAATTTGCATGATTTTTGATTATTTGTGTGTTGTTTTTTTTTTTTTTTCTCAAGAATTGATGAATTTTAATGTGATGCGAGGAAATGCGTGTTTCCCACAAATTGATTAACTATTCCAGACTTTAGGATTGGTACTTTGAGTCTGAAAGATTTCGTGTTGCATGTCACTCAAGAATTGATTAATTTTAATGTGATGGGAGGAAATGCGTGTTTCCCACGAATTGATTAACTATTCCAGACTTTAGGGTTGGTACCTTGAGTCTGAAAGATTTCGTGTTGCATGTCAGTTTCATACATCTACTAAGCAGGATAAATATAAGCGTCCAGTTCTTTGATGGTGACAAAAGTGAATGTTCTTCAAAAGTTTTGAAATTTACTTCTGTGAAAGGATTACTGGATGTTCTGTCATCTGCCAAGGAAGTTTCTATCACATGGAAATGTAGGGGAAAGAAACTCCCAGATGAATTAGCAAAGCAAATTTTGTGGGAATGCTAGGTCTTGGCATTAGGAACTCAATTAATAAAATCACATCGGTATATTGTAGGTTCTTGGAAATTACAGCTAATAGTAAAAAGTTAAAATGCAGACCAAAATATGTGCCTAAATATTTGGTATTTAAGATTGAATTATTCAGGTGGCATATAAGCTCATCTAGATAGTCCTTTAAGGATACTTTCTGAATGGTTGGAAGAACTTAAGTAAATGTTACCGTGACACATACATTATTTATGGCAACAGTTAAAACTAACAGCATTTCAGAAAGTGTCAAGAGCTCATTTTCAAAGGAAATTCTGCAGTACATCTGGAATTTTATTACCGTTTTCTATGAAGTTTAGAAAATCCAAGTAATGATAAAAAAAATGCAGGATTATGGCAGGTCTGTGGGGTTTTTTATATGTAAACTACTGTATGTCCAACTGCAGAAGATTTGCACAACCTCCGTTGCGTTGAAGCCAAATGGCCCTTGTTTGATTTAGTGCAGTCTGGATCTTCAGCATGTTCCCTAGTGGTCTCCTAGTATTTGTGCAAGGTAGCTAACACAGGAATTAACTGTACATACAAATGCCATATTCCACCAAATCGACAGTATAGACATATCCATTTAGGTTTGAAACTCTTTTGATCATCGATTCACATGGCACCCATGTAAGCCCCTCAAGCTGCAATGACTGGAAGGAACATCACAGCACTCTTGAGGGTGGGAATCAGAAGACCACGGTTCACAGCTGCCATTTGTCTTTGGGAAAATGTTCATGGCTTTCCTGCAGTTATCTTTAGATCAACCAGGATCCGTGTGCCCCGAGGGGAAATGCTGGGTGGATCTGTGTACACAGAAGCCTTGCTTTTCCACCTCCCTGGAGCTGTGATAGAGAAAAATGGCCCTGAGCACTGAATAACCTCTTTGAATGCTGTGTATGTTCTGCAAACACTGGCAACAGTAAATAAAGACACTTTCTTCTGTCTCAAGCAATTAAAAATGAGATAGTAGCAGGGCTGAGGAACCATCTTCCTTTGCTCTCTAACAAAGCAACAACAGCTATGGGCTTCGTGATGTTCCTCACGGGAGGTAACATGGCTGATTTCTGACACCTTACTTGGGACTCTTGATGCTGGAGCCTTTAAGTGGCTTTCATCTACCTGGTCTTTCAGGCTGCGATGTTGTTGCCTCTCCCCTTGTGGAGCAGGCAGCCAAATGCATGTCGTGGTCAGGTCTTCCTGTAGTACCAGGTCTGTGACACACCATCCTGGGGTTGTGGTCCTCTTCTACCTGCTGGTTAACTCATACCTTGATGTAGCTGCTCTTGCTTCCACTGAAGGTCAAAGTTCCCATTGCATTCAAAGGGCACAAATGAGCCTTAAGTTTAGATGATGTCACGGGCTAATGATCCTTGCAAGTACTCAGTCCTAGCTTTATTGATCTGTAGAAGTTAAATTAATGATTGCATGAGATTCCCATGACAAATTGGGTGTTTCATCCTATAAAAAGTGAAATTGCTTCTAAAACAAAAAGGCAGTAGTATGTCCATTTCATGGGCTACATGCAATATACACGGTTTCCTCCACGATTTTCTGAAATTGTAATTCTGATGAAGAAAATTGGGATTTGACTAGTATAGTCCTTAGATGTCTGTTCACTTTCTCAGTTTTCAAGGACAAGCTCAGTTCATGTTACACACTCCATTGCATTAGTTTGAAGAATTCTAAGGAATGTTGAATCTTTCTTTCCATTCCCTCCAACATGCACACACTTTTTCAAATACTTTATAAATAAACCCTCACACTAAATGTTTTAGCAATTCTTATGTTTCACAAATAATGGATAAAACAAGATATTTAAAGTGTATTTGTTGGTACTTGTGCAACGTACAGCACAGGATGTGCTATAGCGTAGGATGTGGAAAGCCAGATTTCCTGCCTGAAACCAAAGGAGCAATTGCTTTGATCACCCCACCTTTAGCTGGGAACACTGGGGGAAGGAGGAGTGTCCTGAAGGTGTGTGCCAAAGTGCAACTTGTAAGGCAATTAGAGCTTTGCCAGAGGGGATGGAAACAGACAAAAGTAACTGTTGATATGTAATCTTCCTTTTAAAATAAACCCTTAACTTTGAACATGCACTGAGATTTAACTGATTTTTGCAGGAAGTTCATATTGTTCAGTGAATGTTAATTAATGGGAACACAGTGTGAGCAATACTCAGCTGTTCTTTAAAATGGCAGAGTTTAGCCCAAGAAGGAAAACTCTCAACTCTTACGCAACGAGGAGCTGCTATCTCTTGTGAAAAACCAGATGTAGCCTGACAGCTCCCCACTGCTGCCCTGCGCTGCGAACCGCTGCCTTCTGTGCTGGAACAGCCCGTCCCCAGCCAGTGGCTCCAGACCCATCACCAGAACAGGGCTCTGTATTTAGGAGCGTGTCACATAAAGCCTCGCACTGCCGGGTTATCTGAGCTCACTGGGTAGTTCAGGGAACTGATGGAAAGCTTTCCAGCTAAGGTGTTAGCGTTTCTTCTGGCCCAGCTCAGTCAGGGCTGACCAATGCACGCTTTCATCTTGGTATTCTTGACTTGTGGTTGCACAGACACGAAAACCCCACTCTGTTTCTACGGGGCATCTCCCTCCCAGCCCCTCACTTGTGCCCGGGTGTCCCCACCGCTGGCAGAAGAGCTCCTGGGGCCGCACAGAGCAGCCGCTCAGGGACTGGACCCAGCTGAACTCTTGGCTTGGGGTATTCTGGTTTGTTTGAGTGTTCAGCTTGGATGTGTTCCCCGGTTCAGCTGGCAGCACAGCTGCCTGGATGTGGCTGCCGTACGAGCCGTGCAGGGGGGGAGGGCAGGATCTCTCATGTTGGAGGAAGCATGGATTTATTCTGGGTTAAAATGACTGTGCAACCACAGCATGAGCATTGCTAACCCCAGGCATTCAAAAACTATGAGTCAGGCTTTGGAATTACCTTCCTTTTTTTTTTTTTTTTCCCGGATGGCTTTTGTAGCATTTCAGATGTCCTCAATTTTATAGGTAAATGTTTTGGTTAGAATTTTGAAAACTGTTTGGCTTGATCTGTAAATTTGTGAGGAAAAGGATGAAAACTGTTGAGTCAATTCACAGCTGGATTCTGTGTCCGCTTCCATGAGTATTTAAGCATTTCTGGTGTAACCTTTTTACTCATAGTGATTCAGACTTTTGAATTACATATAATATATGGAAAGATTTGTTGCATGTGAAAGATCTTTGCGGCAATTGGTTTCCAAGAATCAGTGTTCATGCAAGTGTAATGCATTGGTCCTTGTTGAGTTCAGCAATGTACTGCTCTCAGTCACCGCACTGAGGGGCTGGCTGTGGATTTTCATTCAGATAGAGCTGCAGAAGTTTGCAGAATCGGGCTAATCATACTAATTATTGGGCAGACAACGGATTAATGAATTGGAGGAATACTTAGAAACGTAATCAGAAATTTTAATGCTATTATGCTGCTACTCAGTTCCTGTATATTAAATGCGAAAGTTTCTTTTTCCCCCCAAATAATGAGGTTTAATAAGGTTCCATGGAATGAAAAGTGTGCTGAAAATCTTGAGGGACTTGCTATTATGCCCATCACTACTCTGTATTTGCACAGGTGTTTGCAGGTGTACAGGTCTAAACAGCACTTCCATTTCAATTTTTAACCTTTTGTGTATCTCTCCAATCTTCCTTTTTGCACATAGAAAAATGATGTATTAGTACAAATACCATGGTTTTCCGACCCAAATACAGCTGCATAATACTAGAACTCTTCAAATATCCTATATTATATTTTTCTACTATTGAATTTCTAGATCAAAGGGCTTTCCATGTGTTCCAAATATACTCTGGACGTTTTTTGAAATCCATATTTTGAAGGGCAATCTGTCATTTTTAATAATGTGTTTCAGCCCCTCACGGCCTATTTGTGTGAGAGGGAGCCTCCTGTGAATACCCTTCTATGATGCAGCGCTGGTAGTTGCAGTTTGCTCACAGAAACTCTGGGTGGTCTTCAGTTCCTATTGTGCCAGGCAGGGTTTGAGAGTGTGACAATAGTGTACTACAAGCAACGCTGTCTGCATTATGCTTAAAGTAAAAGCTCCTTAAAAGTATTAGTATTCCAGTTTTCTGTCTCTTCCTTTAATTCAAAAAGAATTTTTCCCTAAAATTTAGCTCTGTTTCAGAAAAGGATTCCTCTAAGTTGTTGAAAAGGGGTCAGTAATTTTAAAACTCCTCCAAAAGTCCTGCCTCAAAGCTCTGCCTCATTCCATCGTGCTGATGGCGTTCAAAAGAGCCACAGTTGATGTAACTGAAGTGTTGGCTGGTGCTTAGGTACTGATGACGGTAATCAGAAAAATCATACAAAGGTATCTTGCACTAGCAGAAAATGAGGGATGTAATTCTGATGCTGAGCATGGTAAAATGAGATTAGTCAGCATAATGTTATTTGTTCTCTGCTGGTGGATTCAATGACTCCTTCCTGGTCAGGACTGGTGTGTGAAGAAGGGTGTTTTGCTGATGTGTTGGGTGCTTTGGCAATCAGAGTTGGCAGCACAATCTCTGGAGGTCGTAGAATCATGGAATTGTCTATGTTGGAAGAGACCTTTAAGATCATCGAGTCCAACCATCAACCTAACACTGCCAAAACCACCAAACCACCAGTAAGACCATATTGCAAAACACCATGTCTACCTGTCTTTTAAATATCTCCAGAGATGGTGATTCCACCGCTTCCCTGGGCAGCATGTTCCAACGTTTGATAACCCTTTCCATGAAGAAATTTTTCCTAATGCTCAATTTAAACCTCCCCGGCACAATTTGAGGCCGTTTTCTCTCCTATCATGTGTCACTTGGGAGGAGAGACCAACCCCCACCTCTAAGTCAGCTTCAGTGATAAGTTTAACTTTGTCTATTGTTCTACTCTGAGGTTAAGGGAGAGGAAGAATAGTTGTAGAGTGACCATCTCCATCAACGGGAGTATTGTGTTGTCTCCTCCAGCTCAGCTACACTCAGTGTGGTCATCTTGCTTTACAGTTAAATAAACTTTCTGTGTACTAAAATGCATAGATCCTTATCTGTGCTCAGAGCAGGACAAAAGCTGAAGCCAAATATTCAGGAGATGTTTCCTCACATTAAAAAAACAAATACCCCAAACATCAAAACAACACAAAAATCCCCAAACCAACAAGAAAATAACCCTTCTGTAGATCTAAGGAGATTAGCAATCTGCTTTAAAATAAAAAAAAAAGTCTGTGAGTGTGGGGGAAAAAAGAAATAGCTGAGGTATTTCACATCATGCCAGTGTTTTTCAGTTTACGTGGAAAGTTGGACTGAACATTTTTGTATTCATGCTGGTTCTGCTCCATGTTGTTAGTGCTTTAGTTTTTGTTAATACCAATTTAAAAACATCTCTTTCAACTTGAACTGTGCAATGATATGAAAGTGGCTGATTTAGCAATTAATATTATGTTTTCATTGCTTCTCTTTTTATCATATCTCAGTGACACTTTCTGCTGCCACTCCTGCGTACTTTCGAGGATTCACATTGATTGCTCTCAAGGAAGGAAAAGAAGGTGACAAAGAAGAAGACCATGCAGGAACTTTTCAGGTGAGAGGACTTTCCCTGACCTGTACCTCTAGGAGTCTTCCTTAGTGTATGCTTGGCTCAAAGAGAGATGTTATTTGCACAGCAGAATGCAGACTGTGCTTGAGTAAGCATAAATATTTGCGGTTGCTGACATGAGAACACCATAGCCTGTTTTATATTCCATGCAACCTCTTCAAGAGGTCAAGGCTTTTGTACCCTGACTCTTACACTTAAACACCACCGTCAGTTATTTGAACTGGACCCCGAGACACCTGAATTTCTTATCCAAAGTGAATATGAAAATTGTTTCATTCATGTTTTGCTTTTTGGATTTCTTTACCTAGATATTTTTGTCCATTCAGATGTAGATTATGCCTCCTAGAAGTGTGTTTGCCTCAGCTGTGATGACTGTTTTATCAGTCGTAAATTAGATTCTGCAGTTTTATTGATGCTCAGTAGTACTTTACTTAATGAACACATTCAGTGCTATGAAATGTTGTTTATCATTATTAAAAGGATCAGAATCCAGAGCGATGATTCACAAAATACTATTTCCAGCTATTTCAAGATCACATTGCATGAAAGGACTTCTGGAAATGGAGGATAAATATCATATTTATAAAAATAGGGGGAAATTATGCAGGTCTGTTGTTTGTTGATTCTCAGGTGAGGAATTGTTTGACTTTCTAAAATTAGAAATACTGTTGAATGATTATACTTTACAGGATGAGTAATAATATTGATACTAGTTTAAGTAACAATTTATAGATAGAAGATTTCACTTGCCTCAGAGAAGGATTTCTATGTTTTCAAAGGAAGTTCTAATTTTGATAAGCTACAGGAGACAGGAATCAACTTAATCCTAGCATCTCTTCCTAAAGCGTCTTCTGTTTTTTGTATACAGCAAATATGATGTGCAAGCTTAATACTATTTTCATATCGAGTTTGCCTAGAGGCCTGTTTCTGGTTTTCATACATTTTGTAAGAAAATCTAGAAAAAGTGAGAACTTATTTGATACTGGAATAACTCCATCTTCCGCAAAATTAAACAATTTCATAATATTATTCAGGAGAAATCTGTCTACTAGGGACGGTTTGGGGTTTTTTTTAAGAATAAGCTAACATTCTTTTAAGATTAAGCATCAGCTACTGTTAAGAATTAGAAATGGCAGTGCTTCATCTATTAAAAAAAACCCACAAAAAAACCAAAACAAAATCAAAAAAAGGTGTCACCATTCATTTCTCTATTTCAGTTGTTAATGTCTCTATAGCTGTGGCTATTGAGAAGGACTTGGCCCAAGTTTTGCCTTTATGGCCAGAAGTATCTCTAACTTATAGTGAGAAACTCGCTAAGCTTTGCTGAAGTATAGAGGAATTTTGAAGTCAGCAGAGAGTGGAAAATGGAAATTCTATATAGATCCAAAAAGCCCAATGGGTCTCAGTGGAGGGAAGATTGTTTAATTAGCTTTATTGTATGGATTGCAATCTGAAATCAGTATTCTAATTGGCAGGTGAGAGTTTCAAATTTTATGCAGAACTGAATTTGTATTTCTGTGTCACAAACAGAACTCGTTGTGCTTGTCCTACATTAGCAGTTAACTGAAGTTCATTCGGATAGTGCCTGCCAGTTCTGCTTGTGTTGAGACAGATTTAAGATTCTTATTTATCCACCAAATGCTTCCTGCGATAAATACTGGTGTCTCTTGTATCAGGGCTAGGTGGTAGCAGCTAGAGGAGGAAAAAAGATGTTTAGTTCCAGGGTTTGCACTGTGTTTTGTTATAATGTGAAGATCCTAATGGTGTCTAAACAGCTGTGCAGAGTAAGAAAAAGCTGTGTGTACAGTAACTTGCATGCCACTGGCAGTTACGTGTTTCCTGTCTCGGATGGAGAATATGTTATTCAATGAACTACCAAGTGGAACAGGACTCGGTGAAAATTCCTTAATGGTGGCAAGAGACTAAATGCTACTGGACTACTGGCATAAGCCTCGTGTGAGGAGACATATTTACTGTTCAAAAAATAGTCAAAACGAAGCGCATGACTGCCCTGCATGAAGCAAAGTGCTTCATTTGTATTAGCAAGACTTTGCAGTATAACCAGGATAGAAAGAAATGAAAGCTGACCAAGTAAGACACATGCTTTCCCAGTGGGCCTCAGAGACTGTAAACCACCATATTTTCAAGCCTGTGAGTGCCACTTTCAAATCATGAAGTATGGGTTGTACTGTTTTTCATGGGGAAAACCCAAATCCAGGGGTTTTCTGTACTCAGGTCAGGATTCCATGGGCTGCGGTTTCAGTTTTGCACAGCCATTGAGTGTTAAACTGATCACCAGGTGTAATGCCTGAAAGTACCCTGGAGGGGCTTGTGCTATAGCAACAGGGTGGTAAATAAGGTCTAACATTTCAGTGATGGACATGGTACACTCAGGCTGGAAAAACTTGGTTTTCAGTAGTGGCCGTCACGCTGCTGCAGCAGGTTGGGTGCTGGAGGCCATCGCAAAGGATGGATGTGCAGGAAGTGGCTGCAGGGCCTTTGCTCTGCCTTTTACAATCTCCTCATTTACTCTTGTCTGACTCTGCAAGTCAATAGGTGTGGTCAAACTTCATCAATTATTAAGCTGCAGGGTCTTCATCCTATAAATAGCACAGCTGTTAAAAGTCTTGGTGGAACAGGTTTTTTGGTTGGTTTTTCTTTTCCTGGTTTTTTCTTTTTTTGGAGGGGTGTGTGTGCATTTAGAGACCTTTAAAGTTCTTGGTGGAACAGGTCTTTGGTTGGTTTTTCTTTTCCTGTTTTTTTTTTTCTTTTTTTTGAGGGGGTGTGTGTGCATTTAGAGACCTTTAAAGAAGTATATTTTGGACTCCACCATTCTAAATCTGTTTTCCTCTGAGAAAACGGAGACTTTAAAATCTGATTTTTACCATCATTTGTTTATTTAATGGAGCCAAACCTCTTTCTCTTTGTCCTTGTAGCACACCCAGGGCGCAATTTGGCTTTAAAATAAACAAATGGCATTGTGTCCCACAAATGCGCAAACATATGTTAAATAGCTAAATTAAATACGGTTGGGGAATTAAAGATGCCAAATTCAGTCATAGAAGTTTGGGGATATAATAGTACGGCTCTTGCTTATGCCAGTGGTAATTGTACAACTTAGGGGCACAGTGTGGCGCTTTGGATATTATGTCCCATTGGTCTCTTTACACAAGGCATTCCCAACTGTTGTCATGCTGATCTTTCTCTTTTGTAATGTTTAGCAACAGTGGGGCATAGTATACTCCAGGGCAAAAATCAAGCACTGATTGACTATAGAACAGTATCTATACAGGCCATTTTAATCAAGATCTGTATGCAGTGTAGTAGATTTAGTCCGGTAAATAATGTAGAATAATAGAGCTGAGCTTCATCTCATCTATCTTTCTCGTTGTCCGAGGAAGAATAATTATTCCAAGAAAATTCTCAGTGGATGTTTTCTGAATCTGTTCTGAAGAAGTATTCAGCAACAACAAAAAATTCACCTCTCCAGGTGGCCTGTTCAAACACTTCAATATATTTTATAGGAAATTTAAGGAAAAGTCTAGAGTTTTTACTAATGTCTAAACTGAGTCTTTGCTAATGGTGCTTAAATTCTTATCAGATTATTAAGAATTTTCTTGATATTTTACGAGACAAGTGGATGTTTTCTGAATCTGTTCTGAAGAAGTATTCAGCAACAACAAAAAATTCACCTCTCCAGGTGGCCTGTTCAAACACTTCAATATATTTTATAGGAAATTTAAGGAAAAGTCTAGAGTTTTTACTAATGTCTAAACTGAGTCTTCTCTAATGGTGGTTAAATTCTTGTCTTATCAGATTATTAAGAATTTTCTTGATATTTTACGAGACAGTTATTCTGAAGTTTCCCTTATTCTCTCTCCAACCCCACACACTCTCTCCCTGTTTCTTACTAAAATTTTCATTGTAGGGCATTTTTTTCCACTTTTGCAATTTCTGCAATAAAGTAGAGAGTCCAGTCTTATTTATATTACCCAGAATTGCATGTAATAGTCAATCTGGACCCTCAGCATAAAACAATATAGAATTCAGACACAACATTCCTTTGCAGTATCATAATTGCTTCACTTGCTTTCATGCAGAATCCTTGAAGTGTATGCAACTTGGCTTTATTGCAGGAATGTCTAAGTATTGTACAGGAGGTCCATGGTAAAGTCCTAAATGCTTTTCTGCATGTACTGCTGCCTACATCGTGATTCCTCATCTTCTGTTTTTGCATTTTACTCATTCAAAGTGGAGAGCTTTGTGTTTGTCTTACTGAATTTCATCTTGAATTCAATTTAACAAGAAAGTTCTGAACTATGATCTTATCCTTCGAAGTGCTCAGCGTTCCTCCAAAAGCTGATGCTATTTGTGGACTTTATAAATACATACTGGATAATTTAACAGTCAATATAAAATATTGTATGCAAAAGTGACCTGCTTTTCTCACGTAGAGTGATAAACTGAATAATAAAAACTCAAAATTAGACAATTATCTGTATTGTTTTGGCATCATCAGTTGTTAGATTCTTCTGTTATGTCTGCTGTTTTTGTGATAGTTTAGGGTTAAATGCATTCATCACAGTAATATTCCTGGAGGTGTCCTTTTGACTTTTTGTTTCTCTAGAGTGAACCAAGAAATTCTTAGTTTAGGTCACTGAATTTAGTGAACCACCAGTGCAAGGCAAATATAAGAACATAAGCAGGCACGGTGATAGCGAGAGTAGTTTCATTAAAAGTATGGCATTTTTAAAAGCTAGGGACTTGTGCAGAAGAAAACATTTAAGGAAAATTTGTAGAAGTAGTGAGATAGGTAAGGTAAGTGCTCCTTTATTCTAAGTTCTCCTTTTCTAGGTTTACCCTGAAACAATAGCTGTAAACGTTGCCTTTGTTTATGAAGACAGCTGACTGGAGACCATTTCTTTTGATGCTCTTTAGCTGACTGATGTGCTCACCAAAGCTTTTAGATTAAAAGGTATTTTACA